CAAAAAGAAAAACAAGGAACAGGGTTAACAATGAGAAAGAAAAAAATTGCAACCAGGAACAGGGAAAAGAAAAAAAGCTAAAAACTAGAACCTGTGAGGGGAAAAATAAAGAATAAGAGCAAAAAAGGACAAAAGTAATAATAACAATAGTAGTTTTAAAACAGACAAAAACAAACTGAAAAACAGAAAAAAGTAAAAGAAATCAGGGCAAAGCAGGGCAGGGCACCCAGGCTCCATCCGAGCACACAGACTGGGATAAAATTCCTGCCGGCCCAGAAAGAGGGTGGGAGTGAGGGATGGCCGCACCTCCATTCACCAAGATGGTGTGGGGTATAAGAACAAAAGGGGAATGTCGCACCTTTCCAGTCCTCCGGGTCTGGAATGTCCTTGGGGTTCCCGGCAAGTGGAGCCTGTTCTTAAGTGCCTGGAATCTGGGAGAATGCTGTCACTTTAAATATCCAAAATGGTCAAGCCGCTTGTAAACATTCAAAATGGCTGCACGCTCCAGACAGACAAAAGTCCACAGCTCAGCCAGCCTTCCTCTTCACTGCTTCCCCTTCCAACTAGAGCAGTCCTCCATGAAGTCACTGGCTAGCAAGGCCAATTTTTAGGTTAATTCTTAGGTCCTACCACCACTCGGGAATCTCCAAGCTGTCTGTCCCATCATGATCGCTCAGGATCGCTGCCAGATCACAGCTCCACAGGTCTCTTTTTTTGGTGTTTTCATGCTAGATGGAATTTAGTCCACTTGTATATCCTTCCCTTCAAGGCCCAGGGGTCCAGGATTATCTTCTGTATCTGTGTTAATTGGTTCCCCTTTTCTTTGTTGAAGAGGGTCTGTGCAGTCTTCCTGCCTATTCTGCCATCTTACCAGAACCAGCCCAGGGTTTCAACTTTGTCAATTCCTTCACTGTCAGTAGCCCAGGGCATTCCTTGGCTTATAGATGATCTTCACATGGTGTTTGTGTGTCCCCTTGCATGTGTATCTGTGTGTAGTCTGATCATTTTAGAACTCAAAAGTAATTAAGTTAAGGATTCACCCTATACTGGCATGACTTCTTGAATATAACAAAAGAAAAACCCTATTTCCAAACAGGATCACATCCACAGGTACAGAGGCCAGAAATCAATACATATTTTTGGGTGGCATAGTTCAAAACAAAGGTCAAAAAGATTGTTGATTGGTAGTAAATCTTCACATTTATTTTTAAGTTATGTGCTAATAATCCTAAACTATAAAGCTGCATTTAATTAAAATACTTCCTCTTTTATGCAAATTTTGTATATTCTACTTTTCAAAGTACACACCTTCCTTACCTATCAACTATTTCATTATCTGACATTTCGTATTTACAACAATAGGAAAAAATCTACTATCAACTATTTTGCATATAAATGACATACATGTAGAAACAATGGATGTTGATGTGCAAGGTGGGAGTAACACATAAGGTTATGTGTCATCTTGGCTAGCCCATGATTCTCAGTGGTTTGGCTGTCTATGGTATAATTTGGCAGTTATGTAATAATGTAATGTGGCAGTTATATAATAATGTAACTTATAGTTATGTAATGATGTTGTCATCCTCCATTTTGTAATCTGACGTGATTATCCTCCATTTTCATATAACGCTGATTTTCACATAACAACCTGATCTTTGGAACCTAAATGTATTTATAAGTGAGGAATGGGTATAACGACGCTGTTTGCTAAATTAGTCTAACCCTTCCAAATAAACTTTTTAAACATCTAGATTGCTAATCAAATATCCTCAGCAGTCAATGTTAATCATTTAGTGTCACTTTACTGAGGAACAGTAATTGGAATCTAGATATCTTAACTCCTCTCTTCCTTTTTCTCATATGTAACATTCCTGAAAAGTGCTATGTAAGGGAAAAAGAAAAAGAAGTCTAAAGATCTTACAATGGAAATCTCTTTTGCAAAGATGTCTCCACAGCATGTGTTCAAATGAATAAGAAGAGAATGAAGACCAAAAGAGCAATTAAAATGATTTGTGAATATACTTAGGCAATGTGCTCATCTGAATCTTAGACATATATGTTTGGGACTGAAGGATCTTTAAATAGTAAGAGAGTTAATAGAACTTCATTCCATATTTTTCATACAATTAAAGTACAGGAAATCCCAAATTCCTAAGGGCGCCATCAATTTACTATTTTCTAACTGAGGATATTCCAAAAGAGATACCATGATTCACTGGCACACACTGTCATCAAGCAAAAGCAAAATAAAGAGGAAAGGAACATACTCAAACTAGAGCCCCTTTCTCTTCTGGTTTTCAAAAGATTCAAAGGCTATCTGCTGACAAAAACATGTGTCTTTTATTTAACAAGCACATCACAGACTTGTATAATCAGATCGTCTCGGCATTAAGCCTAGAAGTATGAATTTTAACAAGCTTATGGGTTATTCTTAAATCCATTCAAATTTGAATGGTTAGATACTCAAATGCTTGTTGAATTAAATTCTGTCTGTTCTGACAAAGACCTTCAAAGTGGCATACACTGCTTCAAATACAGTGTTTACTAAAGTAAAGAGAAAGAATTGTTGTGCCCTTACATCAATTATTTTGACTCTAATGATGAAACTTACCAGTGTTTTTCAAAAGACTGCAATTTCAAACACAGAAATAGGGAATGAGAGAGTAGAATAGGAGATAGGAAGAAAGTTACACAGAGAAAATATTTCTCGATTTTTTTTCTACTCAAAATGGGAAAAGAAATTGCATAAAAATTTAGAAAAATGAACATTTGTAAATTAATGCAGTACTAATATCTATGCTTTAAATCAGTTACAACAGATTGGTCATTTACTTACATATATCGTTTAAGAAAATTCTGAAAAACAAAAGTATTAGTAAGTTATATCTAATGAAGTAGAAAAGGGTTTGAGACAAAAATACACATATATTGTATGTGATTTTATACCAGAAATGACTTTACATAGTCTTTTAAAAAGCCATTCTCATTAACTAAAAGATGGATTTAAGGAAAGATTACCATTTGGTGCAGTGGGAGGTGACCAGATGCCGTAATATTTTGGCAAATATTTTCGTAGCTCTAAAAGAACACTGTCACTACAATCAGCAGCATAAACCTGAAACAAATGAAAATATAACAAATGCATGTTAGTTTCTTACAATGTTTTGTAACTGTCCTGCACATTTTTCAAATAAGCCAAAAAGATTACTGGGTGTCTCCAATGAAAAACTAGGTATTGTTTAGAGAATACCCTTCACCTGCTTATCTGATTCTAGCCTTTCATTGTCCTTGAACTATTTTACAACTGTGTGAACTGGAGATAATAGCAGTACAAAGTAATTCTTGTCCATATAAATTCTGGGCAGTGGAAGTTCACATGCCTTCACTCCACACCTTATGGTGGGGTGGGGGAGAGGAATTTAGTGGTCATTGTAAAGTTATTTCAGCTTTCTTTTATTCTGTGTAAATTTGTACTTTTTTCACTTCTCTTCTGAACAGTTTTAACATATGCTTGGCTCCTTTATTAAATTATGAGCTGAATAAAATCTTTCACACATAATCTTTTTTTTATCTATATGGAAGTCATGGTTTTACTTTTTAAAAAAGTATCCTTTAATACAATATAACTCAAATTATTGCTTATTTAATTCCTTGACATATAACCATTAATAATTCTAAAAGACACTAGGAATTTCTAGATATCCTAGAGCCAGATTCTAGCTTTTACCCGACAAGAGGAATAAAAGAACATATTTTTGTTTTAAAAACTACTTGTAAGTCGTTTTATCCAATGAACTCTCTCCAAATATGACCTACTTATATATCCAGGATAATCAAAGTTTACTGGTGTAAAACACTTATGAAAGTTTAGTATCAGCATTAGGGCAAGATAGCAGAAAGAGCAGACAAGCTACAGAGACCTTCTGCAACAAGCAAATGAGAAACCAATTCAAACAGATACAAAAGATAATCCTGAAACCGTAAACATTGAAGGGAAGGATAGAGTACAAATTAAGTACCAACTAGCAGAAGAATGGGAGCTCTGGTAGCATAGTGCCTAAGGCACTTGACTGCTAACCAGAAGGCTGGTGTTCAAACCCACCAGCCACTTCTCAGAAAAAAGGTTGGGCAATCTACTTCTGTAGTGATATCGCCTCGGAAATCCAAGGAGGGGTCACTATGAGTCAAGTCCTACTCTACAGCACATAACAAGTAGAAGAATGTGAATGAAAACTGTGAATAAGGAGATAAATGGAGCTGCAGACTGTCAACTGCCTTTACAGCACAGCCATATTTACAAGTGATTTTCCGATCTGGGCAGCAACCTAAGAATCGTCTCTTCTCACCAGCGATTGCATAGGAAACTGCATTGGTGGCTGACAACTAGAAAGGAAAACAGCAAAGGAGGCAAACAGACCTGTGGACTGTCAGCTCTCCTGAGGGTGCAGCCATTTACAAAATTTGCAAACAGTACAGAAATTTTGAATATTTGCAAAAATAAATTTACATTTATTTTTAAATCATGTGTTAACAACCCTAAACTATAAAGCTGAATTTAATAAAAATACGTCCTCTCTTATGCAAATTTTGTACATTCTACTTTTCAAAGTACACACCTTCCTTACTTATCAACTATTTCATTAGTCAACATTTCGTATTTACAACAACAGTGAAAATTCAATGGCATTCTGATCTGGGCAGCAACCTAAGAATGTGCTCCGTGTGCCAAGGACAGCATGGAAAACCATACTGGAGCCCCAGGAGTAGAAAAGTGTGACATTCCCCTTCTTACTTCTACACACCATACCTGCTTGGTAAATAGAGGTATGGCCATCCCCTGACTTCACCCACCTTCTGGGCTATCATGAATTACATCCTGGTCTGTGTGCACTGGCAGAGCCTGGGTGTCCTGCCATGCCTCCACCTCCTCCCAGTGTTGTTTTTATTTGTTTTAAAATTATGCTTTTAATTCTTCTTCCTTCTTTTTTTTCCCCCTCATTCTGTCCACGGTTCATGGTTGCTTTGTTTTTTCTCTTCCCTTTTCTTGGTTCCCTTCTTATTGCTTTTTGTGTGTATGTGTGCGATTGCTCCTATGTGTTTATGTTTTTTATTCTTTTAATTTTTTTAGGTTTTCTTTTTTTTGGTCTAACTGAGTGGGAGATAGCAACCATTCCCACACAACCCAATCACACCTGCACCTCCTGCACCCACTGAGAGCTACAACTTGGTTCTGCTACAACTTGGTTCTGCACCAACTGGCCAATGACAGATGGTGGCCAATACCAGCCCAACTCACCCTCAACTGTTCTTCACAAACAGCTAACAGAGACCTGTGTATATACTCTCATTCTCTATCATACCCACCAGGAGACAGGTGGTAAGTGCCTGAGTGCTGCCAGCTATTCAGTAGAGAAGCATAGTACCCTGACCACACAGATATATCAAAAAAAAAAAAAAAGAAAAAAATCTTGGGTGAATCACATCACCAGGTGGTTCAAACCCACCAGCCCACCCCCCGGGAAGGAAGGCTGGGCAATCTACTTCCGTAGTGATCCTGCCTCGGCAACCCAAGGAGGGGTCGCTATGAGTCGGGTCCAACTCAACAGCACATAACAACAACAACAACTACATCACAATGTCTCAGAGACAACTGACCATCCCAGTCCACGCAAAGAAGATAAAGTAGTACAAAGAAAGGACCAATGGACAGACCCAGAAAATATCCCTGAGGAAGAAGCAACATTGGAACTCCCTGATAAGGAATTCAAAAGAATTATATTTAGGTACCTTCAATGGATTGAAAGATGGATCAAGGAAAACACTGATAAAATTATGGAAAACACAGAAAAACTCTAGAACAATTTAGGAAAACAATACAAGAAAAAACTGACAAAATAAACAAAAAAATTAGAAACAATACAAAAACAAATAGAAATCCAGAAGATTAATACTAAGAGTTCAGAAACTGATAACACATTGAATAGGCAAAGGAGTAGAACCAAATCAATGGAAGACATAATTAATGAGATTGAAGACAAATCCCTCAATACTGCTTTGTTAAGGGATCAATCATAAAAAGGATAAAACAAAATGAAGAAAGCCTAAGATTCATGTGGGATACCATCAAGAAGAATAATCTATGTGTAATCAAAATTCCAGAACAGGAAGAAACTATAAAATCACAGAGAAACTGTCTAAGATTTGTTAGAAGAAAATTTCCCTAACATGATGAAAGACAACCATTCAGGAAGTTCAATGATAGATCCCAAAAGAAAATCACCAAGACAGAGCATCATCAAACTCACCAAAACCAAAGACAAAGAAAGAATCCTGAAAGCAGCATGAGAAAAAAGTTACCTACAAAGGGCAACCAATAAGACTAAACTCTACTTGCTCAGCAGCAACCATGCAGGCAAGAAGACAATGGACTGATATATATAAAACCCTGAAAGAAAAAACCTGCCAACCAAGAATTATATACACAGCAAAACTGTCCTTCAAATATGGTGGTGAAATTAGCACAAGAAAACTTGATAAAAACCAAACCAACCATACAAGAGATGCTAAAGAGAGTCCTTCAGACAGAGAACCAACAACAACAGACAACTGATGATTAACACACATGACTATATAACCCAGAAACCAACTAGCCATAGAAGTATCCAAAGTAAAATAACCTCATGAAACTGTAAACAGGGAACCAGAGACATCAATTGGTAAATGAGGACAACTACAAACTGAAGAGAGAATAAATTGTGCAGGTCCAGAACTTCCAAATGCTGAGGAAGTCAAGACAATTGCGAGATAGAAGAAACTGTTCTAAACCTGGAAAGAAAAGTATAAATCCCAGGGTAATCTCAAAAAATAAAAAAAACTTTGCATCAAACTAAAGAAAGAGGACAGGTACAAATACTTAGCAAATACTAAAACAACAGCAACAAAGGAAATGATAACAAAATTCATAAACAAAATGAGCTCAGCACAGAAAATTACACGAAACAAAGAAATTAGCAACATCATGAAAAAATACATAACAAAATGAGAGCAATAAATTCATACTTGTTGATAATTACACTGAATGTAAATTGATTAAATATACCACTTAAGAGACAGAAAGCTGCAGACTGGATAAGAAAACAAGACCCATCACCTTTTGTCTTACGAGATATAAAAGGAGAAAAAAGTGAGCAGAGAAAGAGACCTACTACCACCAAGCAAAAAGAGCTGGGAGCAGAGCTCCTTTTGAGGTACCTGTGCTGAGCACTCCCAGATCCAGGGGAAGACTGATGTCAAGACACATAGAGATCTCCAAGGAATGCTGGGCCCACAGATGTGAAATGAGACAAGACCTTCCCCTAAAGCTGACAGAAAGCAAAAGCTCCTAGAGTGTTGTTGTTGTTATGTGCCATCGAGTTGGCCCCAACTCACAGCAACCCCTCCTTGGGTTTCCAAGGTGATATCACTATGGAAGTAGATTGACCAATCATCCTTCCGAGGAGTGGCTGGTGGGTTTGAACTGCCAGCCTTCTGGTTAGCAGTCAAATGTCTTAGGCACTATGCTACCAGAACTCCTTCTCCTAGTGTTGGTTCCCTATATTTGGACTTAGAACCTTCTGAACTGTGAGAGGATAAACCCACCACCCACTCCTCGGAAGGACGATAGGGCAATCTACTTCCGTAGTGATACTACCTCAGAAACCCAAGGAGGGGTTGCTATGAGTCGGGCCGACTCGATGGCAAACAACAACAACAACAACAGATAACTAAGACAAAGATTATAATCCATTTTGAGTTAATGTTTATAAAAGATGTAAGTTCTGTGTCTAGGTTCATATTTTGCATGTGGATGACCAGTTGTTCTTGTACCATTTGCTGAAAAGACTATCCTTTCTCCATTGAATTGGCTTTGCTACTTTGTCAAAAATCAGCTGACAATATTTTCTGGGCTCTCTGTTTTGTTCAACCGATCTATTTGTCGTTCTTTCACCAATACCCTATTTCTTGATCACAGTAACTTTATAGTAAGTCTAGACACTGAATAATGTCAGACTTCCAACTCTATTCTTCTTCGGTATTATTTTGGCTATTCTGGATCTTTTGTCTTTCTATATAAAC